TGGGTTGTTTGGGGATTTTCATGGGATCCCCTTGGCCAACATCTTCATTGAGTGTGACCCAGTTCCACCACTGGAGGTCTTGCCTGGCGATAAGAGATGACCATTTGAGACTCTATCCCCCATTATTATGAGTCCTCATTAGGACAGCCTTCATAGATTCCAGGAAAGTTTCCACTGCACTAGGTCCCCCCCAAAGATCTCCCAATTCTAGTTGTCTTTCCCCACACTCTCTCCTTATATCCCCACCCCACCCTTCAACTGATCCCCCTCTCTCATCTCCACATGCCCCAATCTGCCTGTGAAGTTCTGAAGAAGTTCAGCATCTGTATTGCCTGTGAATTTCACCCTCCCTGGCTCCTCTCCCTTATGCCAGCTACAGACTTGGGTCTAGAGCGTTTTCTCTTAAGTCCTTTATGATTGTTCCTCTTATAGGCACATCCTATCCCTTGCCCCAGGGCTCTAGCTGTACTGGGATTGCAGTTATTACTTGGTACAAAAGATAGCACAGTCTGACCCATATTGGCCTTTAAATTTTTAATGACTTTTCTTATATTGGTTGTTGTTGTTGTTTGTTTGTTTTCTATAGTACTGGGGATCACACCCAGAGCCTTGAGCTTGCTAGGTAAAGGCTTTCCCACTGAGCACACCCTCTAGCTGATCATGTATCTCTTTAAGCAATCTGTACTTCTACTTCTCTGGCCTAGGGTCTTTGTCACACACTTTGCTGGTAGCATCCCTTTCTTAACCTTCTACTTGTTATCTGGTGACCATTCAGCTCTCTAGTATTTCCACCTAGTTATACTGACTTAAAGCACCTGAGATTTAGTCTAATTAATAGCAATGCTAATTAGTATCATTAACAAACACTGTTTCCCCAAATATTTATGTTCATGAAGCAGAAACAATACTTAAACTGTTAAGCACTGGGCTCTGGTACCAGTCAGTGGACTGCAGGTCAGGGACTTGGTGATTTTTGCTAAATCAAAAACACAAACAGGTACTCTTTCACTATAACTCATTGAATAAAAACTATAAAGATAAACTAGCAGTGTAGGAATAATAAATAATCATAAGTGAGTTTAAAGTAGAATTCAGAATGACAAAAATAGAATTGATTTAGATTTTAGGAAATTAAAAACACACAAAAAATGATGTTATATAAGTACTGTGATAACTACTGATAAATTAAGATTAATATCCTTATTTTTGAGAAAAATTAAATAAGGGGAAATAACTAGTATGCTACATTATTCTTATATAGGATTATAATAATTGATTAAGTTTTTACTACTGCTAGAATACATTTCAACTTTTGTAGGACTTAGCCTACATCAGAAAATCCTCTTTCATGTCTTTCTGAATTAATAAAATTTAAAAGACCTTGAATCCTAATTATTTTTTATTTCAGAATTCTTTAAGCATCAAACATTTTTTAGACCATAGTTTTTGCCACCGTCAGCTGGTTACCATGTGTTTTTAAAATTAAGACCATAAAAACCAACAATAGGGCTGTGAAGGTTCAGCCTTCAAAGCCAGAGTTCAGCAAGCCTGAAAATGAAATTTTAAGATGTGGAAACAAAAGTAAGGGCACATTTACTTACCCAACACCTGCCCGTACATGGTTGATTCAAGCCCTTGTTGATTAGATGTAACCTACAATTCAAGTCAAAATCATGAATTGGAGTCCACTTGCAGAAGACTCTATGAGCCTGAAACAACATATCCAAAGGATTACCAAGAGTTGCCAAATAGAATGCTGGCCATTTAAAGTCAGAATACACTGATGCCACAGCATCAAGGAATTCTTTAACATTAAGTATGTATAAAAATATCGCACAACTTCATGCTTTCATCATCTTATTAATTAAATTTGTTTTTTGATGGCTTCAAACATGCACACACCAACCACTGTCATATTACCCCCTTCCACATTGCTGATATCACATAGTTTTCATTTCTTTTTAAAATGTAAAATTTTGTAAATTTGACAGGTGACAAAATTATTAGATTCCTTTAGTAATATTTTCCCCTAACAAGGAAGAAAAAAGCTTCGTATCAGAATGAAGTCTGATCACCCACAGATTAGGCTTTCTTCTGTTCTACACTTCATACCATAACATTTTTCAAGTTATTAGGATTAAAATATATAATATTTTATTATATGCATGGACAGGATGCCAAAAAGAACACCTAAATTTATATTCACAGAAAAAATTCATAGTATATTCTTGACTGAGAATATCTTCTCTCCCTCAGAAAGAAAGAAAAACTAGAAGAGAGGAAAAAGAGAAGTGGAACAGAGCAGGAAAAAAGCAGAGGGGTAGAGAGGGGAAAGGAGGAGATGGAAGGGAAGGCCAGAAAAGAGAGTGGAGGGGGTAGGAAGGGTGGGAAGGAAAAGAGAAAGGTGACAAAGGAAAGAAAGAAAGGGGAGTGGAGGGGAGGGCAGTGGAGGGGAGGGGAGGGGAGGGGAGGGGAGGGGAGGGGAGGGGAGGGAGGGAGGGAGGAGCTCAAACTTCTCAGTAGTCCATTGCTTTTTTTCTTAATGTAAGAGATTTCATACATTTTGTCACCATAGAAACGTAACTTTAGAGTTGTAAAAGTATATTTTACAAATCCATCCATGCTCTGCTTTATTAATTAGGTTGCTCTTTGACAATTTTATACATGTACACAATACATACTGACCATTCTCAACCCCATCCTCTTTCTTCTCCCGACCAGGCCTGTGAACTTGCCTTCTTCCCTATAAACACCTTTCTTCTGTACTCATGTTTCTGATTAAAGCTCAGAGTGGCCTTTGTCCACTTTTATAAGAAGCATGTATGAACTCTAAGAGTTTTCGTCAGGAAACTTTAATGGACAGAATTATAATGTCGTTTCATATGGATACCTTTACTTCTTTTCCTATCTATATTCTTTTTATTTCCATCTCTTGTCTAACTGCTCTAGATAAGACTTCAGGCACTTTACTGAGCATAAGAGAAGGGTGTATGTCCTTTTCTTCTTCCTAACCTTAGTGGAAATGCCTTAAGGTTTTTCTCCAGTTAACAAAATGCTGGCTATGGGATTATTGCACACACCTTTGGAGAAACTGAAATATACTCTATCCCTAGTATCTCCATGACTTTTTATCATGAAGTGATACTGGGTTTTGTAAAGGTCTTTTCTGCATCTATTCACATGATCATGTGATTTGAAATTAAGTATGTTAATTTTGAAATATCACATTATCAATTTCTTTATGTTGAGACATCCTTGAATGCAGCAGCTGACAATGTTTTTATTTTTATATATTAAATAAACATAGTTCAGTATTTCCTATTCTTTCCACCTCAACTTCTTAAACTGTGGTTGCAATTCCGTATAAGGAGACATAACCAGATGTGATGATTATGGGGAAACTTGGAAAAAGTTTTCTGATTGCACTAAAAAAGATTCAAAATCAAATGCACGATGAATCTGTTGCATTGTGGTGTGGGCAGTATCCCCATGCTGCATCACATGACTTCCCTGCAGCCTTGGTTATGAACACTTACACACTTGGCACTGCGTATCCAGTCAGGCCATACACCAGCAGCCAGTGCTTCCTGAAAAAACTCAGCTCAGAGTAGTGATTGCTCTATGCTATGAAGTGCAGTGTTTTGACTGTATACATGACACCTAATGGCCTAGTTACGGAAACTTTTGTAATAAAATGTTTGATTTTTAAAATGGTAGGCTTGAATCCTTATTTTTCAAAAATTAGTAATATCTGGTTGAGATTAAGCTTATTTCTATCTGCAGTCACATGTATTTGTGTAAAATGGCATTCTCAGCGTTGGTGTTTATAAAAACCAAACTATCAGCCAACTCTGAAAACCATGCAAGGTCTTCTATATCCTGAAATATCAAGATTAAATTATTTATGCAAATATAAATAAGCATGTTTGTCTTATTAGTATGCAAGCTTTCTTTCATCTTTAATAAGTGCTAAAATCATACATGCTTTTGAAAAATTACCAGCAGTAAAAATTTCATTAATATGCCTATTTTAGTCCTCTTTATACTTGAAATTGTATAAGACTTTCTTGAGGGGAATATAGTTTCCAGTGGAAAAATATGAAGCCCTCCTTAGTCCTCAAAAGACAAAGTGGGCAAATACAGCCAGAGAAAAGGTATCCAATCAATCAGTTACAGTAGATTAGTGAGTTCTAAAGAGAGACACACATGATGAAGATTAGGAACCAGGTCCTAACCAACTTCCTGGATGAGATCATTTTTTTAACTCAGGGTGTAATGTTGAATAGAGGTTTGCTCTGTATGAAAAAGATATGGGTGTTTGGAATTAACATATAGTTCCTTGTAAGAGTTTGCATTGCATTAAGTAACAATAATATTGACGTCTGCTCTTCATTGAAAACTCTGAAAAGATAGTTCATATGGTTACAGAGACTATGGGAGGTGGGGTAAAAACAGACTATTGGAAGTTCTACATACTATGGAAAATTCTATACACTATAGGAAAACCCTATACTCTTTGAAAAAAATATGTACATTATAGGAAACCCTATATACTATAGAAAAATCTTCTATGGAAAACTCTGTACTCTATATGAAGGACTTTAAGGTTTGTTTTTTTTTGAGAAACAAACAAGTGGGAAATTGTTTTGAGAACGTGACTTGATTTCAGTGTTACAAAGACTGTCGTAGTGAAATATGCGATTTTGAATTAGATGGAAACAAGAGACAATATTCTTATCCAAGGTAACAAATGAAAAGACTTTGTCCCACGTAAGAAAATAAGACATCAGGTCAGAGTAGAAGCCAGACTGACATGGTCCATGCAGATGTTGCAGAGATAGCATATGCCACCACTCTTACTTTCCATGCAGAGAATTAGTGTCAAGAGAAGGGTCAGCACTTGCACATAATCAATGAGACAAATTCAATCATAAAAAACAGAAACTTCATTTTAAAGCAGTATTTATTACCGAAAAGAAAGAAAAACATGATGCTTAATATGTAAACTATCAAATATTTATTCAAATCTCCACTTATTTTCAAGTGAAATTATGTACAAGAAAGACACACAAATATCGAAGCAGCTAGAAGCATAACAAATGGGCAACTCCACAAATACAACTGAAATATAACTCAACATTGTGAATTGGAGTGACGTCATATTGCACCAAAATGCATTCCATATGAAAACATGGACAAGAAACATTTCCATCAGACAGCACACATTTCTCTATGCTTTCCCACTTGTACAATCAGACCATGGACACCATCCCACAATGAGTTTGCTACAGCAGAGCTCTCCCTAGGGGGAAGTCATTCAGCTGTAGAAGAACCCACATGATTTCATATATCACATGTTGTCACAACACCAGAGCCAAGGAATTTGAAGACACCACAAGATCCACAAATAACAGTTCCTCTGCACTCTCTGCACTGCTCACAATTTATTATTCAACATTTTTGTACCAAAGCCATCTTACCCTTTAAGTATTCGCTACTCAATGTAAGACATTGTGTGAGGTTTGTGCAAACTATAGCCATCACCTTCACCAAGGATCATCATCCCAATGCCAAGGTAAAGGACTCTGCCAGAAATGAGGAGTAAAGAGAACACAGGGCACCATTCTGTCTTGACAGCATCTTTCTAATTCTGTGTTGATATCACCAGAATAAAGCTACCATGCTCCTGCCATGTGTCTAATGCTCCAAGGTCATGAGAAACACAGTCTAGATCCAACACAGGTCTTAGCATGCTTGTAAATTACAACTGGAGCACAGATCAAATTACATTTGTCACCTTGACTACTGCTGGGCTAAGGCAACTCCACCAGAACCACTTAATGATGTTTGCAGAAGAATGGAAGGGGTGTGAAGTACATTTATCTACAGTGTCTAATACCTTTACATGAACAAACCAACACACATAAGAATTTCTCTACTCTTTGATGGAAGAAGAAAAACTTAGCATGTCAAATACTTAGATAAAATGTGTAACCCCATATTTCAGCAAAGTAAGTCCAGATATACTAAAATAAAGAGGTGTGCAGGTTGACTGAATCCTGAATTACTAACTAAAACTTTCCCTTCCCAGTGCATGACTACCATGTAAGTCTCAGTACAATAAGAACTATGCACTATGAAATTCAGGGTTTGGGTTTTATCTGAGAGAGAAGACAAATTAAGTTCTCCAAGCATCTAGCACAAGAGACCAGTTGTAATGCATTCTCAGGAACGTGCTTAGTATAAAACCACAGGCAGCCAGAACAGCATTAGAGAGACTTAACTACATTTTTGCATCCTGTTGGCAAAGGTAGAAAACATATCTGATACTTATGCTTGCAAAATTCCCACATGTTGAAAAGCACTGACTCTCATTATTACTGTACTGAAACCCATTGACAGAAATAGAAATTGGGGCCAATGTCTGCATTCAAAGTATACAAGCTTCTGAAATGAAGCATATACTGCAATTGCTACCAATTGTAGAAACTTCTAAGAGTGAAACACTCTGGACATAGATAATATCAAGAAGAACCTTGTTTAAAACTTAGTTGCAGATTTTGCAACAGCAGTAATGAAATGCTCAGAGAAAAGGATTGGCTAGCAAGTCTCTCCAAGAAGATGGCTGAGTAACTCAAATCATAAGAGAATTCTGGTGGTTTGTCAAATAATCACTACCATATATCTACATACATATAGGAAAACATAGGTTTAATGATACAGGATTTTTGCCTTCAGGGTATTAAACCGTGCTATTGACTAGTATCTGAAATAAGGTGAAGTAAGTAAGTAATTTCTCCTGCTTTAAACATTCATCCACTGCAAATAATGTGGCTGGATTTTGTGGGTTTTTTTTTCTCCAAAGTACTTTTCAACTTTAAGATAATATTTGATTGTATTATTTAGTAAGTAGAATAATAGAGAAATTCTAGGAAAGGATTAATTTGTAAATTCTCTGAAACAAGACCCTTCAATTCTAGGAGCTGGAACCCATAATGTCTTGTCTCCTGGGAAGATATGACTGTAGTTCTGAGCCTGTAGCTATTAAGGGTCATCAGTAAGAACATATGAGGTCTACCATCAAAATGTGCCTTTTTATCAGACCAAGCACAGCCCACTTAGAGCTGTAACACTCAAAGATCTAACTCATTTTCCCACAACATGCTGTGCAAACCACAGTCACAGGAAGTGCTCAAAACACAGTTACTGCTGCAGAGAGGTAACTGAGCCTTTGTCTTCTCCTCCACCCCCCCACCATCCCCCTGCCTTCAATACTGCCTTTATTGGCTTCATCAAGAAGTAACAAAGATGTAGCAAGCAGGTCTTCCAACCGATAATTAATTCAGCTTAAAAATCAGTAGTGTACATACTAAAGTGAGCTAGTGTGTTTACTATTGAGTTGCAGCAGTCATCCACGTGGCTGTCAGACGCCTAATGAGTCACCATTTCTTTGAAAGTATTATCTATAAAACTGTGGGCAGTTGTTGATACTATAAAAGCACCTTTGATCCAAACAGGCTGAAATATGCATGGAGCAGGCAGCTGTTTGGAGGCTGAAACCACCCTCTGCATTTCCAGCCAAGTGGAAATAAGGAAAAACAGGGGATAATCCCAAGGAATTAAATAAAAGTGGCAGATTTTTCACTAAGGAAATCTTGGAATGTGAGTCTTTCTATAGTTACCATCTTGAAGGCACAGTCTCAAACACTGAAGCACATGGAACAGTTATCTTATGTAAATGAAACAGAAATAGATTTTAGAAAAGAAAATGAGTAAGTAGCACTAACAGTATCACCATGAGTTGGTAAAGAACGGCAGTGTCTCATAAAACAGAAACGGCGAGTTTTCTACATGGTCATAACTCATGCCTTTGCACCAATATGTGACTTAAAAAACAGATCATTTATTTTTAGATAGAAATTTTAAAATTTGATAAAATAAAGGATTGCTTATAAAAAAATTGGCTGTTAACTCACTATTTTAAAGTACAGTACTAACAATCAGTGGCCTACCTAGAGGTCACACTTTCAACTCTTAAATATATTGAAAGACTTTTGAAATACTATTTATGGGGAAAATTTAGCTTAACTACATAAGCAGGCAGTAATTCTTTTACTCATATACAATGTAAACAGAAGCTATGCAAATGACTCATTATCTCCTCTAATTTATATCCTCTATGAGCTTCTTGCCATGACTCAATTCCTGGCTTGACTGATTAGCAACATAAAACACCATCCTGCACTCCATCAGCACCAACACACAGCACATTACAAAGCAAATGATATTCAAATAAAGCAAGTTTTTTGACCCATTTTCATTGGAATATCAAATCTATTTCTTTCCAGAATAGGAAAAAGAACTACAAATAAAACTCCATTCACTGCTTTTCTACTACTCACAACAAACGCAACTAAAACCATTGTCTTCCATACCACATAGACCTTATGAGACAGGCACTAATAGTTTTCATGTGTTCATTTCAATTAATGTAGCTTTTAAAATATGGCTTACAAATATTCTATGACTGTCTTTATAAAAAATAGGAATAATTTTTATCTTATTCATTAAAATAACGTGGGTACCGCATTGTATATTGTATATGTGATTTTCCTGCTCTTTAAATGATTTACATACATCTTATTTTATTTTTAATATATGAATGTCTGTATGTGTGAGCACCGTGGGCAACCCTTGTGCACACAGATGGCAGAAGTTGGATTCTCTGGAACTGTAGTCACCCATGGCTGTGAGCCACCATGTGGGTGGTGGGAACTGAACTCAGGTGGCCTGCAGGAGCAGTCAGAGTTCCCAGAAGCTGAGCCAGTCCCAATTCTGGGTCTTCCTTTTTAAAAACACAATCTTCCTAAAGTAGTGCTGGGACCTTGGAAGGAGCTTGGGTGCACTGGAGAGACCAAAGCTCCTGCTTAATTACCTTCTCAGGATACTCATTTGCATTCAACAGACAAGCTTTGACATTTCTCTGACTTTGTTGTAGGACAGTGAAATGTGGTTACTGCTAATCAGAGACTCCCTGCACTTCTTGTTATCCTGACCCGGAGCTGTCTTTGCACACCTCCCTTACAAGACATCCACAAAAGTGGGAGATGCTCTCTTTCTTTGCATCTCATTCACCTGCAAATTGAGAGAAAACAGTGAGTTGGCCAAAGGCTGCTCCCGGCTTATTATGAGAGCTTCTGCTAAATAGTTGTCTTCATGAAAACCATCTGTTGCTGTTCCAATGGCAGTTGAGGAAACAATTTAGGCAGACACATAAGGCAATATGAAAAAAATTAAAATGTTTCCAAATGTATACTCTAGTGTTAGAGAGACTTGGGAGCACTGGGATCGGAACTCTGTCAGCTGGCTAGACCCTAAGCCCAAAGGGTTGGGGGAGTGGCGGGGAGGGGAAACACACACAGACTGTGGGTGTGCACCTGTAATCTTATAAGTGGGACTGGACAGAGCCATGTTTGCTAGGACAAATGGTAAATCTCCTGAAGAAAGACAATGCTGGTCCTCCTGCCAGCTAAGCAAACCCACCATTTATAAGAGCTACTTGAAATCAAAGGGGAGAATCCAATGCTTTAAAAGAGACAAAATAGCACAGTTAAAATATCAATCAGTGGAAATATAATTGTGTGAGAAGAATAAAATTGCACCTAAATTTTGGTAATCTAGGTGCTTTAAAAATTACATGTTCAAGGCTTTGTATACTAAACAAAGAATATTTTTAAATAGAGTATTGTATATCTTAAACTGTTTAGGCTGCATCCAGCACAAACATTAATACATGTAATCACATGTACATACACACACATTAATCTAAAATACAAAAAAATTACTTTGTATAAAAACACACATTATAAGTGTGTAGGAGTATTTCTAAGTAAAAAGTCTATTTTACAAGTTCTCACTAAAACAATTATGAGCATGAATCCCATGATTGAAGAAATGCTGTGTCCTCTTAGGATATAACTTCAAAATAAGACAAAACTCCATGGAGAGTATTTTAAAGAAATATTGATTTCTCTTATGCTTGGTTAAAATGTATTACAATGGCATTATAAATTTAATGCTACAAAAAAATCTTTGAAAAGAGAGGAGGAATAACAAAGCATACCCTGAGCTCACACAAGGAAAGACAAGTAGATAATACAATGAGACCAACCAGCCAGAGAGTACATTAGCTTCAGGAAGAACCAAGTCTCCAAGGACCCTCTCCATGGCTTTACTCCATCTCATAGGTAAGAAGAGGACTCTGCCGCGTTAAATCTTATGGGTCTGGTATAAAAATAGCAATATAAAAATATGCACCTCCAGCAACATCTACCAGAGATAGATGACAACAAAGTAACACTATTTTAGTTCTAGAAACTAGACACAGATTTTGGAAAGCCCATGTTAGTAAAAACAGCAGGAATTGTTACAAGTTCACTTAGGGAAATAAACACTTGGTTTGGCCTTTTGAAAAAAAAAGTTAACTTTGGGTATTCATTAAATGTCATTGAGGCTTTAAAAAGCTGAATTGGTGAATTGTTCAGGATTAAAATCACCATTTGTACTTTGGACAATTAACTATGAACTCAGTGGTTTTATTAATTAGGATAATTTTTAAACATCTCATTTTTAAGTGGTCAGAATGTAAGGGATGAAATTTACTGTGTCCGTGCTGAGCATTTAATCTTTGGATGTTAGAAATAAGGGTTTCAAAATCCCATCATTACAATAATCCCAGTTGAAAATTGCCCAGTGTTCTCTCTGTACCCTGTACCCTGACCCTGTACCACCCAGCTGAACACACATACTGAAGACTCCCTTCCAATTGGTTTGTTCAGTTACTGCTTTTGCAAGTTGAATTATAATTAAAGGGAAGAAACGATTGGACAAGCCTAGATTTAGAAGTAGAAACATTTTAGGAGATCAGCTGAATGTCTTCCTAAGCGGTGACATTTCTTCCATAGTTTTTATGTAAGTCTGAGCTTTTCCTAATTGATCCAGATAGTTTTATCCAGAGGCATACTTTAACAGAACTCTAAAGGGAATGCACACACTGTCAGAAATCATCACTGTGTAAAAACAGCCACAAAGTGAAAGGAAAAGTGATTAGAACTACTAACGCTGTATATGAACGTGCTTATAGAGATAAAGCTCCATGTTTAGTTCCATGGGCAGTTTCTCCCGGGTTGATGCTGTATTGGAGTGATTAAAATTTCCAAGGAGGTTGTTCATCCATGATTTACCAAAAAGTACACGTTGTCCACAACTAAGGAGCCGGGATGAAAACAAAGTGGCACTCCAAACACCAAACCTCCCAACCATCGGTGAAATAGTCTTTAACCTAACAAATTCTCCATGATTTTTATTCAAACACAGTTCCCAGGATTGCCTCATGAATAATAGCCTCAAGAAATGCTCCTTTAAGGCATTCAAGAAAATTAAGGTTTGTGGATGTAGATCAATGGTAGAGTGTTTGCCTGGCTTTTGCAAAGCCCTGAGTTCAACCTCAACCTACACACACACATACACACACACACACACACACACACACACACACACACACACGTGTGTGTGCGCGCACACACAAAATACTCCCCCATACACAATACTCCCCCATCTTTTGTTCTGATGCTCTGATTATAAACCATTGAAAGATAAGTGACAGCCATGTTGGTCACTAAAGGAAAACAATCCAAGGTCTATGTAAAATAAAATTATTTCTGACCCCTTTGCCACAATAATGACTTCTTTTTTCAGAAAAATAGAAAACACTTTTCACAGTATAGATGTCCCAGTAGGTAAAGCTATGTTTACAGACACCCTACATACAGAAAACACTTTGGTCTTCTAGTTGAAGGTTCTCAGTCACTATAAGAAATGTTGCAGAGAATCATATCCCAGTAACCAATGCCCTTTGTCATTTTCTCCAGACTCAAGAACTGAGCTTGCCTCACTGTATGACTTGAATACTAGCTTTCTATAAATATACTGAGTTACCAGTAAACTGCCCAGAAATTAGTTTGAATACACTAGAAGATATGAATAGAAATAACCGGTTCTTTTAGTCCATCACCCAAGTTGTGTTTTCTTGAAATAAAGATCCATTTTGTATCTCAGTCCTGAGCAGATGGCCAGGACTTTGATGTATGAAGTTCATAATTCTTTAGAGTCTTCTGGTACAACTTCTAGTATTATCTGTAATGTTCTGGTTATCCTGTCTACAAAGAAATAAGGAGAGATTAAAATGCATGGAAATCAGAATGGTATAAAAAGAGCAAACTGAATTATTTGGGGGATGAATACTGAGAGTGCATAGCCACCTTCTTTGTAGTGCACTTTCAAGAATTATTTACTTCATTACAATCTTATCATGCTCAATTAATTTACTTGTCACTCCTACAACTTCCCATGATGCTTCCTCAGTAAGAATATATTAATATTTTGCATTCAAATAAGAACACTTATTTATGAACCAGGAGGCTGAAAATATTTTGAGACAATGGGACCAAGATACAAATAAATGTTTACAGATATGTTTCATGTTCAGCTCAAAATGGGTTTGTTCTCTTTTCACATAGGAGATGACAACCAATTTCTCAGGACAGTCAGGAGAGGAATATTATTTTCAGTGTCTAATTTGTAGTATTGTTGAGCAAATTACCATGTTTCTCAAGGCCTTGTCTGTCTCATAAATAGAATGAGAAACTTGGACTAATCTGGGTCATTTAGGTCTGGTCCTTAGACAAGTTACATTAAGCATCATCCACAATTCCAAAGTCGCTCCAATTTTAATTGTTAGTCTCCAATTAAGAAGCTGAAGGCTTAACCCAGCAAGAGGTCACTGTAACAGACACTAAAATACAAGAACCCCTGAGTTGCATTATGTCAAAGGATACTTTTTACCCACAGCCCTAGAGCGCTGAACTTGTGGTGACGATTTCAGGGACAGTCTTGTTTGCTCATTGTCACCAACCCCCATAGAACATCTTCAGAAGTCTCCAATTCTTAGAAACCCCAGACTCTGTCCCCTTAAAGGTTTCAGAAGCAAATCATCTCTCCTCTAGTATTCTTTCTCTTTTCTGATGATTCATTCTTCTAACAGACCTTACAAACAATATTGTAAAAGGCTAGTTTTCATCTTTTGCTCTCCGATTTTTGTGGTTTCAATGCTGAATGTCCCCCAGAGGCTCATGTATTTGAACACCTGGCCCCCATCTGTAGGTACTGCTCAGGAAAGCTGTGGAAGATTTAAGGGGTGCAACTTCACTGAAGAAAGTGAGGGCCAAAATGGAGACTCTATAACCCAGCCTTACTTCCTATGAGTTGTCACATGGTTTCTGCCCCCTCACTGCAGACAGTGTGACCAGCCACTCAGGATCCCCTGCAGTCATGCCTTTTCTTGCACGATGGGCTGTAGTCACTCAAACTGTGAGTCAGAGCAACCCCTCCTCCATTGCCTCTTCTCAGGTATGATGTCACAGCACAAAGAAAAGTAACAAATACAGCCATATTCCCTGAGGAAGTTTTCTGCCCACATTGTTCTTCTTAATCCTGTGTTGATTGTAAAGAGTTTTATGTATAGTATTTAAAATTAAACCTTATATAATTCTTAAATAAATTGTCTTTTTTAACAGTCCACTCTGCCATGAGAGCAACAATCAAACCCCATATTTGCAGATAAGGACATGGCAAAATTATCCTATGAAACTAGGCTTATGGAAAAATTATCTATCAATAGTATGGGGAAAGTGACTTTTCCAGGCAGACAAGGAGCCAAGCCATAAGATAGAAGGCTACAAGGTAATAGAAAAACAAGAGTTGTAAAGAAAAGCAATGGGGTTAAAGAAACATGGCCTCAAGCACGTGTTTCAAGGCATCCCTGTATAGCTCCCTAAACCAATTTCTACATTTTGTCTTCTCACTCAGCCTTGGTCCTCCACACCTGACACCAAAGCTTTCCCTAGTGCTTTCCAATAATGTGAGTTTCCAACTATTGCCTTTGTAGATCTCTTGCTGGTATAGGAAGTTACAACCATCCCGGAGCCAAGGAAGGAGCTGGGATGACCACGTTTGTGTGTATCCTTCTGAAAGCACAGCTTGTAATGTCCCATCAGCAGGGCAAGACAGAGACCCAAATCCTATGCTTCTGCTACTCAGCCCTGCTGACCATCTCTCCTGGAGTTTCTAAACTCTCTCTTTGGGGTTCCGGTAGTGGCAGTATTTGTATTATGGTTGACTGGCATTGGCCGTTTCCCAACTTTTCCTTCGAGGCTGTCTGTCCTACAACAGTGGGTCTGGCACTGGTGCCCAGTGGAGGCAAGGAAGCTTCTGGAAACACTGCAGGACATTTGGCTTTGGAGTGCCATGCAGTCTACTCACACTCAGGTAAGATTGGTGGCCACACGATGATAAATCAATATTACTGCCTCTCTAAACAGAGGTGAGGCAATGGCCTACAGCTGGGGTTTTCCATAATTACCACCCACAGGACTTCAGGCAATACCGTGGCTTTAGTTTTATTTTTCATGCTCCCTTGCTATTCCTGAAATACCCTGGAACAAAAACTGACTTGGCAAAACCTCACTCACCCCATCAGACCTGGTATCCACGGGGGAGCAGCAGCCAAGCTTGCGCGAGCTTGGGAAGCAATGAAAAGCCACCCTGCCCCAGCACTTTTTAATAAAATCATAGTGTGTTTTCTTAAGAAGGCTTTCTAAAATGTTTTCATATGCATGATATTTATTAGGTGGAATACCTTCTGAGCCACTAAAAAATACAGGCAAACTTAATGAATGAAAAAGGCACACTCTAATCTTAGGAGAAAGTCTGCAGATGCATTAACTGGCTTTCAATGGCCTGTCCCAGATAAAGCTATCTTGATACACTTTGGGCAACACATGCTTTTAGGCTCTGGAGTTGCAAGCTTGCTGTTCACAAAGATGGATTGTAGGCATTCTCTGCTCATGTCGTCCACATTTTTTTTTTGTTTTTACAATCAAAGATTTTCTTTAAATATCCCCGCCTCCCTGTCTCCACCTGAGCAAGAGGGGCCAGCTGCTACTCAGCCCACTGGCTCTCATCTGTGATCAGGCTGGATGGATGACTAGAAGCTACCAAGTTCAATGGCTGCCACTAACCCTGGTCTAGGTTTCCAGGGCCATACTAGTACCTCTGTGTATCTATACACATCGGGGTGGAACCTGCCTCCGTTTTCCTCCCCTGGGAAGTTCACCTGCCTGTAGATAAATAAATCATATAAACAACCAAGCAGAAGAATTAACCGCCCTCTTCCAGACGGGGAGAAAGCTTTCTGCATAGCTGACCACCCCCTTAAGAGCTTCCTTCTAGCTCTGGAAATGCTATAACCTAAAACGTGGTTCAATACTGGCATCCTGTGGCCAGAGGTATTCATCAGATCTCTAGAAATCTCACATCCTTGGGCTAAGAGGCTAGAAACGCTCTCTGGCTGTCTGTGCCAACCAGCCCTGCACCGGTTTCTGAACGATGTCTGCTTACAACTTCTGGAAACAGTCCTAGCCAGGTGCATTTTGTCAGACTGTCACATTTTCCCAAGGTTAATCCATTCACTCATATTAAGATAAAAAAACAAAAAGAAAAAAAAAACAAAAATAGCACAACATTAAAACTAGACAATTCACCAAGCAAAGCAACATGATATTAAACTACCAAACGAACTGCTTCAACAAGCAAGGCTCTCTTGCCTCCAAGCTCATGCGGAGATTTCTCTCTAACAGAAACGTCTTTAGAGGAAGGGTCCAGTACTGCTGCAAGACACTCTTGTTTTGTCTCTGTGCGTTTTGTTTTGGCCAACGGCTGCAAACATACTTGCTACTGCAGCAATAAATATTATGCGTTTTCTTTATTTTACTACAAGAACGCTGCCTAAGAGGAAACTCAAACAGAATTACAGAGGACTGTTGTTTTTCCCCAGTCCCTTTCAAGGCGTCAATAAAGATGAAGAGCTGCGGTGGTGGTTACAGTTTAAAGCAGAACGGCTGTGTCCCAGGCAAGACATCAGAGCGTCCCGGAGAACCGAGCCACCATCGTGGGTCTCCTCCACCGCAATCCATTCCACCAACAACGGCTGACACTAAATTCAGCGGCCTTGGCGATGTTCAAAACATCATTAGAAGCAGAAAAATAGCAAAAGCTCCAAAATTACATGAGCAGAACGGCAACCAAGGAAGATCATGTATGAAAATGCTGGATCTAAACTGACCGAGTGGCTGCTAGCGCACCTGTGGTAGAGAGGAGAGACCGGCTCGTACTGGCTGACTGAGCAGGGAAGGACAGAAATCCTCCTAGGTCGGACAAAATGGGGACTGGCCCTTTCTTCACTCCAGCTCTGTCCCTCTCAAAGGCTGCTGGCTCTTTCTTCTAAAAGTTGGACTTTCTTTCGTGCTCAAGGTCTCTTTGTGTACTTCAATCTCAAAGAAGACTCCCAACTCAACCCTAAACTGTAGCAAGAAGCCAAGTGACACTAATCCTAAATATTATAACAAAATTTCTCCTCCCTTCAGATCTATAGTCCAGTGTCTCCAATAGAGAAAACCTAACTAACTAAATATGTCTTACAGAAAAATAAATACAGCTTTGCAGGTTACAGAGATTATACAGGTACTCTGGGAATCAGCATATTTCCGTTAGCCTTGAAATCCTGATTTACATAGCAGCATTTCTTTCCAGAATAGTGTTGCCAGCTAGGAAGTTAAATCGGAATACAAATAGTAGTAGAAAATCCAAAGTAGCCAAATGCCAATTCAGTTGGTAAGGAGTCCTGACAATACTTTAAAACGGCTGGTTTCTAATATGTGTTCTTAGAATATATTAGAGAATCAGCAAATAAATCTTTTGCTTGTTGTTTTGTACCAAACCTTGCTTGTTGAAAAAATTTCCCATAAATCTCCAGACTTCCAGTTTGGGTTTTTATATTTTTGGGAACTTCATATCTGTATTTACATTATTTCTCTCTCCCTAACCACCAACTCCTACAGTGTCACAACTCTTTTTTAAATGTATGACTTCTTTAATTGTTCTTTTTGTATACACATGTACGTTAACACACTGAGTCCATTGAGTGGGGATGGTATGTAAATCCGTATAGGGCTGGACTGGGGCTTGGCCTGGGAAAAGGCTAATCCTCCCCTGTCTTCAGCCTGTTGCTCTTCATCCTGGGATGGGGCCTTGCAGGACTTCCTCTATTGCTTTGGCATGTCACCCCATGCTGACATTCTGCAGTTCTTTTTCAGGTGACCAGATTGTTGAGATTTCATAGTTATAGAGCTTCAAGTTCATGTCCTCCCTTGGACTTTTAAGATTAGCCATGGTATGACATACAAATGAACTTTGGGAGCCCACTCCACATGGAGGGATGCTCTCTCAGCCTGGACACATGGGGAAGGGCCTAGGTCCTGCCCTAGATGAGATGACAGTCTTATCCTCCCTGGGGAATGATGTGGGGATTGGACTGGGAGTGGGGGGCTGGGAGTGGGGGTGGGACTGGTGGAGGAAGAAGCAGGAAGCTGGGATTGACATTTGAAGCATGTATGTTTCTAATTTAAATAAAAAACATACCTAAAAAAAAAGATTAGCCATGGTAAACTAAGTAAATTAACACCAAATAGAAAACAAAAAAAAGGAATTTGTATTCTAAACTCACCAAACCCATAAACAACAGCATATCTGGTCTTGAAAATACATTTTATGTAACTTAACCCTTGTCACTATCACAAAACACCAGACTTAAATCAGGGAAATTTTATTTAAGCTGATGTGCCCTTCCTGTGTCAAGGGTCACGAGGACTAATCCAATGATGGGTATTTAGCTGAATTTGTCACTTGAAACTGGGTTTATTTGGAACAATTAGATGATCGAGGACTGCATTTAGAAAGGTATTTTTTTAACCCTAGTCTTTTGTTCTGTGGATTTCTCAGCATCCTTGCCCTCTAGAAGCAATAGAACTATCACCATCAGAGCAGTAATGAATCCAAACCTAGGACTGAAATGTCCCAGGAAGGAAAAGGGCCAACAAACCATGAAGATGCATGGACTGAAACTTTTGAAGCCATGAGCCCAAATAAGGTTTTCATCCTCTAAGTTGTTCTTGATCTTATATTTTGTCATAGTGATGGAAATCTAACACAGTGAGTATTGATGTCCAGCAAATGTGAGTTCAAATCCTAGTTCTAACACTTAAGACTCTGCATTCCTACTTCTAAATTCTCCCTCTTGATGAACCTGGGCTTCCTCACCTGGTGGAAACAGACTCTTGGACGTGCGTCCTTGGAGATTGATCTGAGAGGCTGAAGCTGGGAAAAGGGATCATAAGCTCCCCTGTCCCCAAGGCTCTTCCAAAGCACCCTTCTGACCAAGGGATCCTGTGCATTTCCCCTCCACATCTTAACTGGCTGCCAGTTGAACCAGCTTTTCCTCCTTAGTGCCTTTAACTTCCTCTTGGTCCTGCTAATGTCCTCATCACTATCACTGAAGAAACCAGCCATGCCTTGTTCTTTGTCTCCAGCCTCAACCTTCCATCCTCAGCACCCAGCATCAAAGGCAACCATCTGAGTTTGAGCCCTTGCTCTTTTTTTCTTACAATCACATGACTTGTAAGACTGATGGGAATCCTCTGGTGACATAACTCAAAATCTACATACTAGGGGCAATGATTTTTACTGCTTCCAACGGTTGTTAGAACTGACAGTGGTCATGCTTGTGCAATCATGTAGAAACTATACAGGAAATGCGAGCTGTTATTCTCTTCATGGATTTTGCTGTTACCAGAACCCTCTGCAGCTCCCTTTTCCTAACAAGATAGTATTGTGGCCATGATGATTAAGACATTTGCAGGTACCCACCTCACTCACCAAGAAATCTTACCATCATTAATTTTGTGCTATCATAGTCACTAGACTTCACTCAACCCAGGAAAACAATCATTATGTCACTAAGGGATTTAAAAGAGCAGTTGAGGCTGTTTACAGTACTGAAAAAAAAACTTTGCCTAAAGAAGCTAGTCTCAAAACTGCCAGTGACTACAACCACCCAAATTAAATACCCAACATGATTCAATAGGGGCTGCACTCTGAATGACCTGACTGTCTTTCTCCTTAGAGCTGCAATTAAAATACAGTAACTCACTTTAATAACAATTGTGCCACATGTAGTTTTAAACTTTAATAAGAGTTTGCATATTGGATGTGTGCACCTTTATGGGTTTTCTATAACATGATCTTTTGCTGGGTCAAAGATGCTTAAAAGTCTTACCTGATAATTGTCTGAACCACGTGGGCTTCTTATCCCAGACAATGAAGAGATAATATGCAGGGACTCCTGTCAGTGTGATAAGGAAGCCGATCCCAGTGCTAAATGGGTCCGAGTAGAGGGAGAGAGCAACCATGAAGAAGCAGGTGAAGGAAAACAACGCTGGGATGAACAGAGGCACCTGCAACACAGCCGAAAGCAGCAGCGTCATACAAGTTCAAGAGACCAGAGACGGAGGGTACTAGCTACATGACCAGCCGGTAGGCCCCAACCCGTTTAGGCAGCCAAACCCCTCCAAGCAGCACAGAGCATGCATTAGGTGTGGGCTCTTAGCTATAACTTGTTTTAGAATATTTGAACCAAGTCTCAGGCTAGGAAAAGGTGTTTCCTAGTGGAGGATCTACTCAAATTCTTTCACTAGCAATGCCTCGTTATAATTTGCGTTTTCCATCTTGAAAGATGGGTTATTAGATGATTAGGATTAGAACCCATTTTCACATGGAGTCAAGAGCTCCATGTTAACGCCTCTCCATGAATACTGATTTCCTGTTGAGAGTCACACTCCCACCTGATGGGAATAAAACAGGCCAACTCCTAGCCAGCAACTAATAAAGATGCTTCAAGCATGTGGCAATGGATACAATCAGAAACAAGTCCCAATTGCATGACTGGCAGCACTATCAGTGTTGTGTCTTAAAAGCAAACAGTGGGATAGCATTGACCCATGGACAGCTGGGGCTGAGGAGATGACAAACCTTCCCTACAGCCCTACCACCGGAAGACGCTGGTTACAGTAAATGGTCATCCTACTTGGCGGCAAGCTCTCCCTTTGCTATTTCATGTTTCTTTAGTGAGGTGGTTCTCAACCGTCCTCATGCCGAGACTCTTTTTTGCAGCTCCTTATGTTGTGATGACCCCAACCGTAAAGCTTTGTAGTTGCTACTTCATAACTGTAATTCTGCTACTGCTATGAACCATAATGTAATTATCAGTGTCTTCCTATGGGTTTAGGAGATCCATGTGAAAGGTCACTTGACCTCCAGGTTCCCCAGGTTGAGAACCATTGCTTTAGAGTATATAGAGGGAACTACTACAATGTCAACAAGTTAAAACACTTACTAATCTGTAAAGCTGCACCCCTTCCCAGTTACAGCTAATGATGTACTTTCTTTCACAGCCCAGCTGTGTCAACAACTGGGTAAGAATACAGACAGGGGCATTCCACCCTTTGAATACACGAAGCCATGCATGAAAACCCAATGAAAAAGTTCTGAACAGATAAAAATCGTGATGAATTCACTATATCATACTTAAAAATGCATATACTTTCCCTAAGTCAAGTATTATTAGCAAGTGCTTCCTGCACCAGTTAAATATTTGACACTGCAGGACCCCACCCCCAACCTCCCCATCATCAAGTTATGACAAGAAGAGGTCTAGGTATTAGGAGAGAGATTTATGTAAACCCAACAAGATGGCTGAGGTTACCTTGAAAGGACGACGCATATCTGGGCGTTTGTATCGCAGATAAATCAACCCAGCAACTGCCAGCCCCATAAAAAGCCACCTGGCAAAACTGAGGAAGTTGAGAAGACTGTAGAGGTCTCCGGAGAAGAGCATTATCATCGTCAAAGGATGCTGGCGGTAGAGGAGAGGAGACAAGGTAAGTGCACAGAACTAAGAAGGAGCAGGCGATAGCATTGTAAGTGTCCTTCCAATGGTTATTTAGAATGAGAAGCCGCCACTCTGACAGAAGCCAGATTCCACAAACTTCTTTCCCATGTTGTGTTCTTCTGCTGCAACTAAGCCTCAGTTGGAGGATGCTGTCATCAGCCCATTTCAGTTGGAACTTTATGTGAATCTGCTCTTTTGTTACTTTGTCAGTTCCTTTCTTTTTGCTGACGAGGAAAAATGTATTTTGCTGTGTGTGTGTGTGTGTGTGTGTGTGTGTGTGTGTTCATCCATATTCAGGTGCACATGTACATAAATGCAGGTATGTTTATAAATGCATGTGAAGGCCAGAGGACAAACTTGGCTATTGTTTTCAGCCTGTTATTCCTCAGGTAACCTCTACCCTGTGAGATGGGGTCTCTCATTGGCCTAGAACTGTCTCTGCCTCCCCAGCACTGGGATTATGAACACAAGCCACCATGCCAGCATTTTTAAAAACCTGGTTCTGGGGGACTAAACTCAGGTTCTCACGCTGTCAAGGTTAGCACCGTATACCAGATTCATCTTACCCTAGACAATGTGCTTCCAAAGAATAAAAAGAGAAAAAACAGACATTCAGTCATTCAAGATCAATGTAGAATCAATTGTTGGTAAGTGCCCATCTTAGATATTAAATGCAGACTCTACTAGAAAACCCAAGGGATGCTCTGAGGTGACTTCTGAGATGTTCCTGGGATCCACACAGGGGATACCACCACGTGGGGGTGAATCTTTTGGTTACTGAATGCAAAACATTGACCTTTTCCTGCTCTAGGTCAACTCCCCCTTTGTGCTAACTGCATGTGACCCTCGAGACCAGGAAAGAACTAAGCCTAGAGACTAGCAGAGCAAACCTCTGCAGTGAAACTGCCAAGGACGGCCTGACTGATAGCAGATGCTTCAATGAAAGCCCTCTTCACGGAATAATACATCCTGTTCCCACAAGTGACGTTAGCCTTAGATTCCTCCCGGAGTGTGTGCGCACTTTAAAAAGAAATTTCAGGGAAACATTCTGAAGCAAATTAAATGCACAGAGAAGAAAAAATGTTCAATGCTTCCTAGGGCACTCTCGACAGCACATTCCAGTTGAGAAAAAAAAATGTTACTAAAATAAAATTGACTATAGCATTGCCAATGGGTATTTGAGGGCTCTTACACCTTTTACAGTCTTTTGTAACCCACATTTCACAAATATTGTTCCCGGCATAGAGAATTCCATAGCCTCGATTTACATGTGGGCTTTTCCTTTCTTCTCTGTAAGGCTGGCTCGCACAGGTCTCAGTTACAATCGGAGAACCATTTCACTGCTTAGTGTTTTATCTGTGCTTTGGATTCTGTTGCGTGTGTCTCATTACGACGGGGCCAGGAGGAGACACCAGGAAATGCTTGCACAGTCTGCTTTTATGTGAGCTCTGGTCAGTAGCTGAGACTGTGTCCTTGTGGTCTTTCCTTTGAGGTTCTCTGCCAAGGAAAGGAGCCACAGTCCTCACGTCCCACATTATACCTTGCAATTTTTTCCCCACGGTGAAAGAGAAGTGAGGTGAGGCATACCCAGGGCATCCTGTACACATCAGAAACGCGGAGTCAAAGGAAGCCAGGGCAAAATCCCTGGCCTCCCAAACATGGTACACCCAGTTCCAACTGATTACTGTTGGTAATTTAGGATTCCTGTTCCCATTGCCTCTTGGCCAAAGGCTTTGTGAGGTGCTGTCTACATATGCTTATTAGTGTGCATTACCAAAACAATAACAGCTGGCAGAGGAGTGTGCTTGTGGACATGAATCATGGAGAGGATTTCCGGAAGGTGCCCTTCTCGGGATGCAACATAGAACAGCCTGGTGGGAGAAAAATGTGGAAGGTGTTGACTATATGGAATCAATCATTCAAAAAGGAAATAGGCGGAAACCCCCAAAGCAATATGCATGCATCTTTCTCACACTCAACATGTTGGCACTCTTAGCTGGTCATTCGCAGACAAAGGGCACACTTCCTCCTAAGTCTCCTTTGAAGACATGCAATTCCTGGGGCGTTATCTTTTTCTGCCTTAAGGAAAAGCAATAGCAGCATCTCACTGAGTGGAGCTTTTCCTACACACAAAGAGCTGCTGGCAAAGTCTGTTCCAGACTGCTAGTGTCAACCTAGCATACATGCATTGCACACACATGTACACACATGTGGCATTCACGTCTCTCTGATTTAGATTGTAACGTAAGGCAACAAAAGAGATTTTCCTACCAGCAAACAAAACAAACGGGTTACAGATGGTGGGGTGGTTATTTCTGCTTTCTACTTTACTCTTTTTCGTGGCACCTTCAGGAAAACAAAAGACTTTATCGCCAGAAATAAAAGCTGTTATTAGACCTTGTAGACAGACTCTTAAAAACTGCTCAGAGTGGGCTATGTGTAGACACGCAGCGCCCTCTACTGGACAGAATCAAACATGCGTCACTTGAATCTGCTACAAACTTGCACATATCCCTTTAAAAACAACAGGTTTGGAGGTACTATTGCTTTTCTCTTTAAAAGTTATCCTTATCACATCCAATCTCTAAAACAGAAATGTGTTTCTGAAAATACATGAACTCGCTCACCTGGAGACAGCGAACACGCCACCGTTCATGGAGCCGAAGCAGGAGAGGGCAACAAAGATCGGGACTGCTAATGAGAAATTTCCCAGCAGCCGCTCGGAGAAGGTCTGGGGAAAGAAAGAACGGAGCAAATTAATGCTTTCCCAGAAAGTGGAATAAAATGAAACAATTTAGGCCAAACTTGCTCTTTGACTTTCTATTAGCCTGGTGCTACGTGAATGTTTTATAATCCCGCTTTTAGGTTAGGGTCAAACTGACTCCACAGACAATCATCAGAAGCAGGTACCATGGCATTGCTTGTCTCAGACCTGTGGGCAAAGGTCTAAACAGTCGCCTTCTCTCTCCCTTCAAAGCAACGATCCATTTACTGAATCTTTATCAACTATGATGTATAACGTCTCTGGCTCTGATCAGAGGAAGAGGCTCGATTCGGAAATTCTACTTTTAGAGACAGAGATGGTTCTGCACAACACCTGCCCTGTAGCCCAGAAAGTCGCCTATTTATGATGGGGTATAGATACGCCGTCACAAGAGTTACAGGTATTTGTTTCACATACCAACCCTGGTGCTAGACGATAAAACAAGACAACAGACAAGCTGATCCTTTATGGCATGCCAATGAGCGGGTCTGCACCGTTCTTTACCCGAGTAAAGCCATACCAGCTGAACCTGTTTAAGGAGTTGCCCCACCCCCCACCCTGGGAAGCTGTCATTTCCTTCCAGGGTTCCCTGTAAAAAGCTAGAACACAATTCCAATCCTGACAAGTGACAGGAAATATAAAAGGTAGAAAAAGTTTTGCGATTTCCTCTAGGCTGCCACACGTGCAGCCCTGTACATTTCTATGAAGGATACACTTTTTTTTTAATGTATGATTTTTTTTTCATTGTCCTTGATGCAGCTGGGGCTATGCAATTAACAGACCCCATTATGCTCTCCAAAAATTAGTGCTGCCCTTTGCCTAGAAAGGTGAGGCAACTCACCAGACACCCAGACACTTTATACACGTCACTACCCAATAGCATGCCTATCAGTGGACAAAGCTCTTTTCATACAGTGAACACATACGTTGGTTCACACAAAATGAGATAATTATCCCCTGTGGGTGTTGTCGATAGGAAGCCATCCTATTTTAAAAGGAATTGACTGACATTCATGGATGGGAATGTCACTGGAAGCTTTTAATTTTTCACCCTTCCTGCTTTTGAGTTAATGAGTGAATTCTTTCTTACAAGCTAAAATGTTCAAGCAAATTAAAAGTCTGTATGACAGAAAAGCAGATCTTCGTGAACAAGTATGATATGTGTTATATGTATATATTTCTTAGGGAGTTACAAAGCACACTGGCATCTTCAAGTATTACAGCAACATCTCTTTAACATCTAACTGCCTAGTTGTACCCAAATTTATGAATACTCCAATGCCACTATTCCAAGGTTATGCTAGACATAGATCATCATGGTCCACCTGGAATTTCTAGAATGATAATTTGGAGAGAGGATTCAAGTCAACATTTGAAGAGTTTGTAATGAGAAATGAGCAGAGTGTGTCGCACTTTGCAAATCAAAACCTGCATTTATTTACATTCAGTAACTACCCAGCTGTCCTTAGAGACATGCTGGGGAAGTAATCCTTCCTCCTAAGGAAGTCTTGATGGAGTTTCAAGCAGCTACATGTGGAAATGTTTTCTAGGAGATTAAAGTCAAAACGAAGAGGATCTATGGCAGAGGTTAGCTGTGTCATATGGTACACCCCAAGCAAGATGGGCTCAAAATTTTCAGAGCATTATCTTTCGGGTCCAGAAAAGGTTACTGACTTCTAAGACACGTTCTCCTGGAGGGAATCACTACGAAGCTCCATCAACTCATTAGCCTAAATTTGAACCGGCCCGATTTTAATGTGGACTTACCACCGCCACAGCATTGGATAGCAACAACTCCTCAGCGCTGATGGTCGTAAAATAGGCCACGTTTGTTAGCACGTAGCCAATTGTGATGATGGCCATGGAGATGCAGATCGCAAGGGGGATGTTTCTGAAATACACAGACATTACCCATGAGTCACTATGCATTCTCTGCTATCAAAGAATGTAGAAGACTGATTCCAGTGAAGGATGTCATGGCCTTGGCCATGACTGAAGGCTCTGTTGGCATATGGAGGGACATTTTATCAGCACAAAGTATCTTTGAAATTTAATGATTTTTAAATGGAGGCAGGTATTTTGTATAACTTGTCTATTGTTTCATCCCCAAATACACAGGTGTGTCCCTTTGTTCGTTGAATGTTATCACCATGCTTCTACTAACCTCTCAGTCACCTGGAAGGCTTGTTAAAGCATGGGCACTGAGCATATATCCCTGAGCTTCTGATTCAAGGGGATCAGAATTGCTTCTATGTTGCCAAGTGACCCTGATGCTGCTCACTGGGGACCACATACGTTTCTACTATTAATCCACTGTACTGACAGCTTTTTAAACAGAGTCCTCCAATGCATCTTTCATATTCAGAGTTTTCCCTTAGGCAGCTTGTGGCGCCAACAAGTGAAGACTTTTGGAAGCAAGAGAGTAGGGTGCATCTATCTTCATGAAATGATGGCGATAAGAGTTTCTGTATGGAAGAGAAGTGTTCACAATAATGAGTACTCTGCATGGCCCTGCTGTGAGTTCAGAGGACTCTCAAGATCATGAGCATCTAATAAAGCAGCCGTGCAGATAATCCCATGAAATTAGAGGTGACGTGCTGTGAAGTATGGACGACTGGACAGTGCTGACACTGTGTGGCCTCGAGAAGCACCCTGCACCAATGCAATATTATGTCTTCATTTAATGCAGAGGGGAAGCCAGGGAGCCACTGACCCTCATAATTTGATTCCATGTTACCGATACACATTACTTGCTTAACATAATCGCCTCTTCAAACACTTTCTAGTTCAGGCAACTTAAACCTTCAACGCCCTGCACAAAAGCTGGTCTTTTTTTTTTCTAGCCATCCTACTATCAGCCAGAGGTTCCTACTAGCCACCCAGAGGTTCCCCCTGCTGGGTGCCACTAGTGAAGACCTCAATATAATTTCTTCCAAGATGAGAATACAGTTCAGAACCAGGAGGGGAAAGGCACAGCCGGCCTCACTGGCCAGGCTAGATGTGTTTAACACACTGAGTCCCAGCTCATTATACTGAATGGCAATATTCCCTGTTGAGAACAGGCAAAAGGAGCTGGTCAGCAAGTGCCATTCATTATGCTGCTTGCAGCCTGACACTTGCCCTGATCCCCAAAGCCGTCAGCCTTGACCTCTAAATCCTGGCCTCTGAACATGAAAGTAGCAGATGTTCTCTATCCCCGGTATGAAGAGGGTCCGGGGGAATTTCCCGTGAGCACCCTGACAGACCTTGCCAGCTGTAATTGATATGTGATAAATTTAGATCGAAATAAAAAAAATAAATCTACCTGGCCAATGAAATACAAGGGGTGTGGTGCAATGAAAGACGAATTCTGTTTCTCTGAAAGCCTGGATGACATTGCAAAGGGGTAAGCAGGAAGAGACAAGGTGTAGATTCCCCTTCTCGCTCCTTCATGACTTATGTGGGACTTGGGTTACTTCAGCTGGTACAGTAGCCCACTGGAGACTACATGCTTTGGGTAAAGGAAAATGGACATACAAAGGAGGGGACGAACAGACCCTACATTCCTTCCAAGCACAGGGCTGATTAAGATATGATAAGACTCTATTAATCAAACTGAGGTGATAGTGCTCAGTGCAGTGGGGTGACTAACTTTCACAAGATAAGGAATATGGTCACTGCTGTGTAACAAGTCTTTTGTTCAGTGAAGATTTGCCGCTCAGACTGATTTGATAAAAAAGCTGATTGGCTGGTAGCCAGGCAAGAATGATAGACAGGACAATCGAACTAGGAGAATGATGTGAGAGGAAGTGTGGAGTCAGAGGAGACACCAGCCAGCTGTCAAGGAAGCAGGACGGTTAGAAAATGCAGTAACAAGCATAGATAAGAAATACGGGTTAATTTAATGTAAGAGCTGCTTAGTAACAAGCCTGAGCTATCGACTAAGCCTTTATAATTTATTTGAAGTCTCCCAGTCAGTTATTTGGGAAGTGGCTGCTGGTTATTTGGGAGCAGGTGGTCAGGATAGGAAAACTCTGCCTACAGGTCATACCATATAATGCTGAAAAGTAGCAGAAAAACACACTTGAAACTTTCAACTATGGTCCTCTCAGCCAAAAACTGAGTTTCCTAGCCCTGTATCTCAAAGCCAGACCCCTGCAGCCTCCCTTTCTCGGTATGTGTCTCAGTGGGGCTTTCAGTACTATCTTACCAGAGGGCAGGCTTAGCTAACCCAGCCTTCTATCTTATTGTCCTTCTTTCTCGGGTGGCCACGGACAAACATACCAGCAGCAGTCATAGCTACTGGGCGGCTACTGGCCCCAACCTTCTATTAAGTATTCCACATATCTGCCTCATTCTGTCCTTGGAAATCTCTGTAAGCTGGAAACATCAGCATTATTTATGAAGAAATGGAGTCTTTTGAGTTTAGATAACTGTTCAAGGACACCTAGCAGGTGAGTGAAATCCAGGAATCGACAGTGTGCATGGCCTAACCTGAAATCGGGGCATTTTTAACCCTGAAGTATGTATCACACAAGTGTGGCTTCCTCAGCTCTATTAAGTTCATGGAAATTAGCCGTAGAATATTAAGTGAGTTGAGAAAGTCTCATCAAGACTACATTTCTCACAGTATACATGTAAAGGGAGGAGAAACATTCAGAGATTCTTAACATGTTTCTGTAGAGGACAAATTGTAGTGTCGGGAAAGTGTCCTCAGATACGTTATCATTTTATGGAGCTGATAGTTTACTGCTATTACTGTTGTTGTTGTTATTATTATTTAAAAGAAAAAACCTTCACTCGATGAATTTCCCCAGACATCTTTGTGTACAAAAGGGGAAAGAGTCAGCATGCTTGTCAAATAAATCGTAATGAGTGGAGCCAAATATGATAGGTAGCTATTTGGGAGGGGCAACCACAGGTACCTGAAATATGACCCAAAGAATGAGATAGTATATTGTGGAGTACAATAAGCCATGATTCTCTCTAATTATATCAAATGAATCCATAGGAATCAGAGACACTGTGGCTACAGAGTCACTAGCGTCACTGACCAGGTTCCTCTCCACTTTGAAGGAAGGGGAAGGGATGGGGCAGATTCTGTGGTTGCCTTGCTGTAAACAGCATCAATTTACAATAGCAAGTTGCTGACCTGATCGGGGCTGGGCACTGTGTGGTTAAGTTCTGTTTACAAGTGTCAAAGCCAAGGAACCACCGGGTGAGCTGATAAAAGCTATTAGGCCATGCCAGAGTGATCTTTCTGCGCGCTTTAGATACAGAGGGCAGATAAGCACTGTTAGGAACCCAAGAGGAAGGCCAGTGGCTCGGGCAATGAAAGGAATTAGAGGAAGGAGCACCAAGGCCACGGGTGTCTCAGGGCTTCCAAATTACTGAGAGGTGGACACCCATGCTAAACGGCAACCAAAGCCTTAGCTTTTTGATGAACACGAATGAGACACCTGGAAACCCTCCTCTTTCTCGAGTGTTTGAATATGTTTGCTATGATGAACAAAACATAAATTTAGTGAAAACAGGTCCCTCACCCTCAAGAGCCTTCCGTCATTACATATGCCTTTTCCTATTACCAGAAAATGAGTGTGTGCATGATGTGTTTAATAGCTGAAAATTGTCTTTAAAAATGTCTCAGATAATCTTCCCACTTCTTCATTTAAGTTGGCATCTCCAGCCATTCTGGCACACAAGGAAGAATGTTTGATTCTTGGAAACTACTAAACTGAAAGTCTGAAATGCCTGTTCTGGAGATCCTTTTGCATTTCTTTTTGTTATGGCTTAATGGCTTGTTTTCCAAAAGTGATGGGAGGGTATTTGTCTTTTAAGAATCTGCATAGCCCCCACGAAGACACTTGATACTGAAGTCGATGTGCTGCATTCCGGATCATTGTGAAATAATACATAAAGTGAATAAATAAAATGCACAATAGTCTGTTTAAGTAGGAGGTAACTCCCATATTCTTTTAAACAGAGAGGCCTAGGCTAACAGGGGTTAGTGAAATGGATCAAGGTCCCAGAAGCACTGAATGGAGAGCTGGAACTCAAACCCAACCTCCCAGGTGCTTTGAACTCCTCATCTTGACTGTTTAGTGCTGACTTTTATCTCAAGTTCAAGATCCATGAGGTCCTGGTATGTCAACAGATGCACATTGTGTTTATGTAAAAAAAAAATCCATTATCAGGCCAATTGTTCTACTCCACATCTGATGCCGTGCATGTGTGACTATAAATCCAACTTAAAGTGGATAATCTGCTAATTATGTTAGCATTAACTACCAGAAAGACTGTTTCCAGAATTTCAGTTTAGCCAGAAGGAGCTACTGCTGTAAAACCAGAATGAGTAAACCTAGCTTGATGGTGTAGTCCTTCAAGAAAACAGCAAAGTTAATGGGAGTTTTGGTACTCAGATGACCAAAGTAAAGCCCTAATCATCTGAATTTAGGATAGCCCAAGACTGTTTCATAACATGGACAAAATCCCTGAAGACTGTTGTGACCCAAGCCTTTTAATCTCCCCAGTCACCATGATGACCTAGAGCTCACTGCCCCTCATGTTTTCTCCCCAGTCACCATGAGGATCTAGAACTCACTAAGCCCTAGGTATGTGCTTTATATTGGAGATATGATCCAGGACACAGTGGTAGATAATAAAGTTATTAAAAAACAAATAAACACACATACAACCTACTCTCATATACTCTGGAAACTTCTAAGTGGTTCATGTTTCAACTTTCTATTTAGAATGCTTTAATATTTCAAAGTATGTATTTGGCATTCAGGGAAAGAAAGGACAAAAAAGTTGTGATCAAGAAGAACAAACTTCTTAATGTAAAAAGCAAAAAGAAAGTAGGTAAATAAATAAAGGAAAACTAGCACTTTTCAAGGATTTTTAAAAGTCTGC